GCACAAACACACGACTGTCAATGGATATGTGTAGTGCACACCTAATGTTAACACTAAAAACAACAATAATAAGAAAGGTTAAAATGACGTCAAAAAAAAAACACTTTTATTACCAGAGAATTGTCGTCATTAGCAAAAAGAATAAAACAAAAATCTCATTCTCATCGAAAGAAAAACATACATTTAATACGAAAGGCATTTTCTATCTATCATACATATTTATACATAGCATTTCTCGAAAAAATACAACAAAAGTTTTATCCTATTTCGTTTTGTTTTGAACAAAAACAAAATAAAAAGATGTACTATTTACAGTCAAAATAAAAAAAACTTATTGAAAGAATGTGTGTTGAATCAAGAACTAAAATCAAATGTGTTAGTGTAATAGGTGTGTGTGTATGTATGTGCACGTGAAATGCTGTTATCATAAATTAGAATTTTGAGATTTTTAAGAAGAGTATATATCTAACGTAATTGTATCTACTAAAATCCTACATTATTATGTGGCATTTGTAACTGAACCGGATAACCATTATAATGTGGAAATAATGATGTAATGCCATTGACATTATCCTGAAAATTGTTCATTGGAGCAAATGTCTTCAAATAAATCAAAAAAACAACAATTTTATAAATAACTTTTATGGCTACTATGTATTTAGTATACCTGAGGCTGAAACGATTGCATCGGATTAAATGACTGCATACCATACGGTTGTGTATACTGTTGTTGAGGAACCTAAAAGTAGACAAATTACTGATGAAAGTATTAATTGCGTAGGAGTACTTCTTACATCGTTTGGTGATTGGTTGGAATTCGTATTTTGATTGTGATGATGAGCTTGCTGTTGCAACGATTGTTGTGCTTGCTGCTGTTGTTGATGTTGATTAGACTGCTGTTGTTGTTGTTGTTGCTGTTGCTGCTGTTGTTGTTGTTGTGAATGAGCTAAAATTTTAAAAAAATGTAGTTTCTTAAGTAAACAGTTATTTTACATATGGATACATACAATGTGTTTGACGCGCTTTTTTATTAGCTTGTTTATAATCGCCCATTTCTTTCTCATAACGTTCTTTATCTTTTGTTGCTTGTCCTTCATATGGTTGTTTCCCATCTGGTTGAGTATGATTCCATCTATCACCTAATTTTTTTGCTATTTCTCCAACAGATAGACTTGGATTTATGTGTTTTAATTTTGGTCGTTCTTCTTTACAATACCAAAAGAATGCTGATCTACGAACAGAAAAAGAGTTTTACGATTTTTGAAAACCATTGCTATAAATAAATTATCAACATACAATGGACGTTTTGGAGCATTTGGATCTTTCTTCTTTTTTTTTCTTTTCTCACCGGGCATATATACAGCCATTTCTCGTTCATATCGTTGTTTATCAATTTCAGCTAATTCAGCAAAACGTTTCTTTTCAGTATCATTCATTGTCTAAAATTCGAAACAAAAATAATCGATAAATACATGAATCAGATAACGTTATTTTTTTAATAAAATTAGGGAACAATAGATCACTTTTACTACCTTCCATTTTTCGGCACATTTTTTTGAAAAATCGGTAAAATTAACACTTTCATTTGGATGTTTTTTACGATGCTCATCACGACATGTTTGTACAAAAAATGTATATGCTGACATTCGACCTTTTGGTTTATTAAGTTCTTTTGTGACATTATTTTGATTTTGTTGTGTTTGTCTGGGGGGTGTTGCCTGTTGTTGATGAGGATACCTAGAGAAAAAGACAAATTGATGAGAGAACTTTTCTTAACAAAAAATCTATCTCTAAACTAAAATGTAGAAATCTATAAAATCTCAGAGATATAGCCGTTAATATTATGAGTAAGTTTTCAAATAGAAGAAATTTATGACAGATGTCACTAAGTGATTATTCTGCGATTATTGATGATGGACAGATTAGATTTGAATTGTTGTTTCTGTCATATAAAAAAAGTGCGGATAGAATAGTTGTCCACAAGTCATCATATACTTTTGATGACTAGAAGTTTGTCAGCGATGAAAATAGACATCTACACTATTATTTTTTAATGACGACTGACATTTTGAAACTATTGTTTGGTACTGATAATGTAATCTCACAAAATTTTTCCTATATTACTCTTCATTTACATTTTAATATCGCAATTACGAATTTTATTTGACGTTTATAAATAATTTCTGTATAATTAAACTATGATCATCAATAAAAAATCAGACGGTATTTTGATATCAACTCACCGAATTCGAGCCGGTAGTGGAGGAATAGTGGATTGGTAATAGAGTGTAGTAGCCACTTTTAAGCTTTTTGAATAAATTAATAAATAAAATTAATTTGAAGAATAAAAGAAACAGACACAAATAATTATGTTGTATTTTAATTAAACGATAATATTCATGTAGATAGACAAATATTAAATATATATTTATATCTATAACATGGTAATTTGTATAAATTATTCGTAACAACTCTTGGATATTACTATTCCACTTACAGGAATTCCAATTTGTCATTAACATCATCATCATCATCATTATCATTATGAGTTTTTAAAAAACCAAGCTTTAGTACTTCAACGTCGTTGTCGTCGAATGCAATTTCGTATTTGATGCAAATCGCACACACGCTTATATAAAATCGAAAACAAAATTAGATGAAAAACATCTCTTCTTTTTTCTTTTTATATATACACCCACACATCCACATGATTGTGGAGAAACCGAGTAACAGTAAGTCTTATAATACATATATGACTCTCTCTCTCTCGCTTTACAGACCGATTTATATGTATATTCTTTACGATCATTTTACATTTATATATGTTTGCTAGATGTCATAGATGAGAGGAGCTCATAACTATCACATTCTTATATTTATACATAACTACTATTCAACTACATAGCCAGGCTAAAAAGCAATACACACACTATATATATATATATATATATTTAATGTCAATACACTATATATACAGCAATACACATGTAAAAAAAGCAAAAAGAAATTCAAATATACATAAAAATACTCAGCGATGTGTATGTGGTTTGATGATTATGATGATGATGATGTTTAGTATTACGTGGCAACGACAAAAAAAAATGTATGGGACTCATTGTATATACATACAATACATACATTTAGTATTTAAAAAAAAACACGAGAGGAAAAAAAAAATACATCTTTTTTTGATGATGTTGATGAAAAGAACACGACAACATACATGAATCCAATTTTATTCCCATACAAGAATCTTTAACATACATACATACATACTAGATATATGTACGTGTTTTGAATGAATACAGAATCTCAATACACAATCAATGTAAGAGGCTTTCTCTTTCTCTCATTCTTTTTTCTTTTTTTTTTACATTTTTTTATTTACTTTTTTTCTTCTCTTCTTTTTATAATTATACTAGAGGGTAACAAACAAAATTTTTGTTCTGTTCTTTTACACATTCGTACTGCCAAATTGTTTTATATGTGGCGATCCATCTATTGTACAGACAGACATACATAGACATTTTTGTTCTTTTCTTTCTACCATATATTAAATATACCCACATACGCACATACATATACAAAAAAATTGCCTCGTCGAACGAAATAAGGAAAAAAGAAAACTCAATTAAAACAAATAAGTTATTCCATACCATTTTCGAACGTTTGAACGTTCGTCGTCCAAAATGTGTGCAAGCGAGAGAAGAAGAGAAAGAAAAATTTACAAGGGTCAAATAATGAATGATCGAATGGACTAAGAAGTAACATACACAAAAATACACGGAATATTTTATTTCTCGTCTATTGAGTTTGACGTTGGGGTCAAAGCAAGAAAACAAACCTAAACACAAAACACACTCAATTTTTGTTAATAAATTAATTATAACGCTCAAAACTTTTAACACTCATTGAAATATAAGCAACAAACATACATCACTAAAGTTTCTTGAACAGCATATCCCAATAATGTATAATGAAGTTTGTTAGTTAAAAACTGAGATATTCTAAAAGCTTTGTTATATATCTCAACATTCAAACTGTATTATAAAAAGCGATTGTATTGAACGAGCTTTAACAAATTCCTATACGTTAGATTGAAGAGATTATCTAAAATGACTCGCATAAAGTAACAAAATTGATCTATCACTTAGTACGTATTTCATAGGCACGGTAGAAAATGGATTCCACACTGATTAGGTATAGATTATGAACTGACGTGAAAAAAGTGAACATAGTAGTTTAATTTCAAAGATTCATTACAATTTCCTTCTAAATCGAACCTACGAACAGCTGTTAATTGTAATTTTATAATTTTAACAAAATATTGCTATTTCAACAATTTCATTTAAAAGGCGACTGCTCTATTATTCAATGAAATAAACGCGTACAATACATATCACATCATCTTGTAGCAAACGACAACGAATAGTGGACCAAAATTTTTTTCATCTACGCCATATTTATCATATCTCACTAAAATTGGGATAGAAGTCAATCATTATTTTTGAAAAATGACACATACCAAGTTTACGACATAAATGAAAATAAAAAAGTTCTAAATGATGCAAGAAAAAAAAATATGTATCATTTGGCATGTCTATGTAAATAAAGAAAAATAGAGTGGAATTCGATTTGATTGCAGATAAATCAAGTATTTTTACTTATCTCTTCATGAGAAAACAAGATCGGCTTAATTTATTTTATTTTTTTCGTATGAGAAACAAATTGATAAAAAGATCGTTTATGAAATTCATCATTCTACATATTAAAACGAAAGTTTTAAAATTCTAATCTTTTCACACAAACGAAAACAGAATAGTGTATTTCTTTTTAATAAAAAAAATTTAGATGTTTTTTTAGTTAATCTGATCATTCGTTAGAAAAAAAATTAATCATTTAAGTCTTCTAATCTTCTCAATTGATGATTTGGAAGCGAAAAAAGCAAACAGAAACCATTTGTCAAAAAAAAAAAAAAAATTCAACAAGAACTTTTAAAGCCACTAATCCTCTTCAAAGAATGCTTGAACTGAGATCCATAAGATTTAAAAGCATTTAAATCTTTGCTTTTACGCTTTTTCTGAAAATAGAAGGGTGTATGATAATCCTCAGTAAAAAAGAAATATCTCTATATTTAAACTAGTCGATATTTGAACAAACATAAACTAAATAAAATGCATAAGACTAGAGAGAAAAGTAAAATTTTATCGTGCATCAAACTATTTATGATATAGTATTTTTAAAACACTTTTAGACTATTTTATATTTGACATAGATTTTCCATTATCAATAAAAATCATTAAGTAAAAACAAGAGTAGACAGTCAATATCAAAATCAATTTTCAGTTCTGTCCTTTCTTATTTTCTAAATTTTATGTTGAGCTATTTTTCTTTTTCTTGTGCTTTGAAACAATATAGAAAATGTAGAAATAATGTGGGGAATGATTTTTCTCGACCGATATTGCTTCTTTTTTTTTTTTAGAAAGCTTGATCGATCGTTCACATACTTTCTTTTTTTCCTTTTTTTAGTAGAAAAATTGCAATAAGGGTCTTGATAAAACAAGAAAATTCACTTTATAGAAGAGAACTGTTGTAGAAATATCGGAAAGAGGAGGGAGCAAGCGAGAGAGAGAGAGAGAAAGAGAGAAAGAGAGAGGAGGGTACCAAATGTCAAAAAATCCCCAACAACGTTGTTGGAAAAGAAATCCTGATGAAACAACGAAAAATAAACGAATAAGAGAATAATAGTGTTACAAAGAAAAGTTGTATGAAATGTAAACACAAACGTAGAAAATTATTTTTTTAATAATCAGAACAAAAGAAAGTTAATAAAAAACAAAACCTTTTTATTGTGCAGACTATATATATATATATATGTGTGTATAGTGTGTTCTCAATCAATAATTTTAAAGATGGATAATTAAAAATTCTATATATATATCATGTGTGCATGTTTAGACAGTAAACTTTACTTAATTTTAAACCTTTTCAACCAGGAATCCAAAAATGAAGACTAAATCAACTCACAGTGCAGAAAGAAATTTAAATGAATGAAGTTTGAATAAATCAATACTAAAATTGCTTAGAAAGCTTTAGTAGAAAATTTATTTAATGTATATTTCTTCTCTCAAACATCAGACATTTAACACCATCGTTAATTGTTTCATGGTGCATGATTAATACAAAATTACTTTTTGATGTGCTATGATTCTATCACTATAAAAAAAGTGTTCTGTTTCAATTTTAACGTTGACCTATACCTAACTAGTTCACATCTAGTTAAAATACAATTAGTCATTTATTCATTATCATATTCGATCCTATACATTTTATACAAAAAGAAAAAATCTGAAGTATATACTAATTAATATTTAAGATCATTACAAAAAAATGCCATTCATCTTAATATTTCTTTTGCCTGACCTCTGATATTGTTATTTCACCGCACTCATTACTTCAATAGTCTCTCTTTCTCTCTCTCTTCTTTCTTATTTATAACACTCTTTAGTAAATGATTTTTTTAGAACAGGTTAACTTTGTTCTGTTACATACGGTAATCATTGCATACTTTAAAAGGTTAAAAGCATCATTTTTGAGAAGATGGTAAAGCTATTCATTAAAATTAAAAATAACAATCAATACTTGAAAAGAAGTAAATAATAGGAAAAATTAGTTGCTTAACAAAGTAACTACAGAATTTTTCAAACACAAAGTGATTTTTGTCAAATGCTTTTTAACAAAAAATAGAAATTTAAAGATTATTTTTTGCTATTTTTTCCAATGTGAAACGTAACTTTATAGTAAAATGAAAAGTATTTTGAATTCTGTAACTTCTGAGTAACAAAATATCAATACCAGATGTCCACTTTACTACAATACAATAATTTTTTGGTATGAATCAACACAGCTTTCTTTGTGGAAACTTTATAAGACGTTTTAAAGAGTAATCGCTTAGTTTCTAAACCTGTAGTCATTTCATCAATGTGATAAAATTCACAGAAGTTGCATCTAATTTAACTTAGAAAGCATTTACGCAGTTCAACAACTTAAGCTGCCATATTCACCACTAAATAGAAAACGATTTTCCTTGCCAACAAAGATCGTTATTCGATCGTGAACAGCGAGTATTTTCGATTTTGGATAGAGTTACTCAAGAAATTTTGACTTTCTCAGAAAAACTGTGTTTTAGGCAGCTGAGTATATGATTTTTTCTAGCTTCTAAATAACTGTTTTTTTTTCATATGTTACTCAAAAAGAGAACTGACCCGGTAGACTTTCCATCCCTCACTCAAAACTTGTATCGAAAACGTTCATCGCGAAACAGTAAAAGATCAGTAATATTATTGTTTGAATCAATGTGAAATTAGATACAGAAAAAGAGAAGCAATATAATTTTAGAATTTTCTTCGATACCTCTCCTTTTCCTACATTAGACTAAACTGATCGATAACAGAATGAAAATATTTAGATAAAACTTTACTTACACTGACTCATGATGCATAACTTGTCGTTCTGGCAGTTGCATAAGTGGAAATTGTTGATGTATTGCATCAGAAAACGGAGAATACATGACTTTTGATCTACCGATGTCTGATTTTAATTATTTCGTTTCTTAACTATCCGAAATACATAAAATAAACTCTAAAATGGATAAAGAAAAACAGAATGTAGTTATTGTTGCCAGCTCTTAAAATACAAAAGTACCAAAAACTTGTCCATAAGTAATACATAAATCCGAAGAGAGAGGAGAATCACTGGATAAACACCTACGCTCAACTGAATAGCTTATAGTACAGTGTAAAAACTAGGACTATTAAATATCTTTGTTGATTTTTCATTAGAGTAGGTCTAGTAAAGAACCAGTTAGTATTTTTATTCTAGCAATATGCATTTTCATCTATGTTCAACACACAGCAGTAAAAAAATATGGAGATCACCGTGTGTACAATTATTCTAGTAATTTCAAAAAAATGAACTAAACAACAGATTTTGTACAACTCTCTGACATAGTGTAATACTCAGTTTCTCAAACTAAAGCTGAATACGTCATTATCATAGCTTCATTATGACAAAAGATTAGGTCCTAAAACGAAGCATTTACCGATCTGATTACGCGGTCGGATAGACTAACGATTTTAGTAAGGATTCTTTGAAAGGTATTTCTCTACCCTGTTATCTCTTCTTACTTTTTGGGCATGATAGAACAGTACATATATCAGATCGTCTAACTTAGTTTAGTAAACTTTTTGCAATATGTATGTAGTAAAACATTGGTAGTTCTGGAAATCTTCGCTAAGCTAGGAAAGAAATCAAAACGCGTAACTTAATTACCATAAGGAAGCTATGATAAATTATTAGTTCTATATGATACTGACGTATAGAACTAGGAGTTGAGAAACTTATCGTCAGGAGATTTTTGTAGAAAATTCTTTTTATGTTTTATTAATGGTACAATTGAAGTATAATATAAGTTCAGGGGCAACTTTCTGCGGTTGAAAACATCTATTCTCTTATAGATAACTAATGTTCGAATATCTGTATGCGGAAAAAGATGATTTTAGCAATTTATGACATGGTGTGTCCAGCTTTAATTTGAGAAACTGAGTATTACACTATGTGAGAGAGTTGAACAAAATCTTCATTATTTTAAAATTACTAGAATGAACTCCAATTTTCTGAAAAAAAATTCTACACATGATGGTTTTCATGTTTCTTCACCATTCAATTGTTGCTGAGTTTGTTCTCAGATAATTACAACAGTGATATAAATGCATCACTTATTGTCGCATAATAAGTTGATTATACCCACGTTTGTCACTGAGATGAAAGAGAAGTATTTGGATTTCAATCTTTTCCACTAGATGAATAACATACTGACAGATCTACATCTGTCCGTCAAATACCAAGCATCTCCTGAAAACGCAATACAAAGTTTTAGGTATCGAATTTGCCCACCAATTTCAACTAAAAAATTGAAAATTTTCCCAATATACTTCACTGAGGCTCGAATCTTCATGAATCAACAATTCTGTTGAAAGAAAGTTTTCTTCGACAATTGAGTGGTTTGACTGCAAGAAGCTTATACGGAGCCGTCATAGAAACTGTGTGAAAGGCTTGAAGTGTCTTGTTACTCTGCATGTTTTCTTGGAGCTAATCCAAAGACATACTACATAATACATACATTTTTGCTTATTCCTTAAAAATAAGCTAAAATAAACCGGATATGTGATGGACACATCTTTTTCTACAGTATAGAATGTTATGCACTCCAACCGGAAATAATTGTCCCGTAACTTCTCTTTGTTTACCAAGATATGCTGACTATAATAACTGCGCTGCTCACGTGAAACCGACAAGAAATCTACTTTTTTCACTAACCAGACCATACAGATCCCAGTATAATTATAAATATAATTTTCTTATTTCTGATTATTCTCTAACCGTTCGAGTTTATAAAAGCCTGCCGCGGCCGACCATTAAAACTACATCGCAGGCCAACTTAGGATCCTTACCGTGAAGCCATGAAGCCTTTTCAAAGACTCTTCATATTTTCATCTAACTGAACACCATTTTCTCTATAAAAAACAGAATCTGATATATTTATCTGATTTTTATTTTCATAGGACAAACGCTCACAAGCCATGCAAAATGAATTTTATGAGATTTCTCCGGCTCACCATACACGATTTTCAGCTATAAGAAGCACTGCACGGCTAGGAAGAGAAAATTCATTACTTACAGAAATCATTTTCAAAATGTTCGATTATTGTTGATAACCTGAAAAAAAAGTCTGTTACAAATTACAAACTTTTCTCCTCAATTCGGGGCGTTATAAATTAAACAAACGATGCATACCACTACGTTATTCATAATACAGTTTCCCGTCTGAACTTCTATTTCTCCGTCTTATATTTTTGCATACTTTTCTATTTATTTTTGATTTTCAGATCGATCATACTATACGAGATTTCACTTAATTCTCGCATCTGTTAGACATGAAAAATGAAAATTGGGTTAACAGAGCTGACACAATCTACTTAGAATTAGAAATAAGCACTATTTCTCTAACATGATCTACTTCGAAGACTAATGTGAACAGACGTACTGCTTTAAATTTTGCTGTTACACAGACAAAAAGATGTTTCAACAACAAAACATATCGAATAGATGCTGCAGAGAATAAATGCCGTTATCACGTCTCTTCGTCTACACTATACCATTCATTCGTTCGCTATTCGAATGTTTTTCTTTCTTTTTGTATGTACTCTCTATTATGAATTGGATCGAAGAGACAACCAATAGATCTTTTCCCCTGTACCTTTTCTGTTATCCGAAAACCAACTAACAAGTGAGTAATATTGAATTTGAGAGGCGAGATAAGCTTCGGTAGAAAATAACATATTCGAGTTTTTGTAAATAACAGTGAAAGTTTATCTCTAAAGATATATAAATAAAAGTTTTGGAGGAAATGTTGCGTGTGATGGTAGCCACTTCCCACACCAGAAGCGTCAGGTCATTTCAGTGAAGAGACGAAAGAATAAGTAGGTGAAATTAGGTAAGAAAAGGCACAGTTATGGTTACATTGGTTTTGCTTCAGATATACCTGTAATCGGAGTATGAGGTATGTGTAGTCACATTGCTATTGGATTTGCATAAGTGCACCATTCATCCGCTTGAACTAAACCTATACCGGGAGAGTTTTTCTATATGTAATTGGAAGGAAGACACTTTTAACAAATTCTGAAGGATTTCTAGCTCTTGAACCATTGTTTATTTGAGGAAAGGAATAAACGGTATAGTGTAGATTAAAACAGACTGAAAAACGTTGTTCAGAGTCAAAAAAATTGTCTGCATTTTGTTGCTGTAGCTAAATAGTTTTGTTTATTTCAATCGCGCGTAACGATTTATAAACAAGTGACCTTTTATCACTAGACTATTTATTTCTAATTTCAGATTTTATTTAAATAAACTTATCTCTTCCGTGTTTATTTGATTCAAAATGAGTAAAAAACATGACGGTAAGTTCCATCAGATCTTCAGTAGTTCAATCAGATGTCTTTTTTTAATTATACTTTATTTTATTTTTGATTAGCTATCGAAGCTCAATCAAAAGCGATAAAGCAAAGTCGACGAAATGAATCAGCCGAAGAACGTGGTACACGTTTTGGCGAACAAAATCTTGATACAGATGTTTATCCACCAAGTTCAAGAGATGGTTATTTATCGTATTTACCCACCAATAACGATGATGATGAAGTAAGTAGTGAGTTTGAGTAGAGAAAGTAATTGCAGGTTTAATATTCTATCCGTTATTTGTTTTATTAGGGCGATGATGTTCCTTTATCTGTAATAAAAAACACAAAATTAAAGAATTATGGACCATCACAAGAAATCCTACAAAACATTCCAGACATAGATAGAGTAATTGATATCTGCCACTCTTTCATTTATATCTATCCAGATTTATTTTTGTTTCAGAATTATGATCCATTGGAAGAATATCGTAAACCACGTATCATTGATCGAGAAAATGATTATCAACGTAAAAATCGTATTGCACCGGGAATGATTTCTCCAGAAAGATTGGATTATTTCGCTAACGGTAAACATTTTCTTATTTACTTTTGCTTTTTGTACTCTAGAGCTGAATGCGTTCGCGCAACTAGTTCACTTCTTTTTCTTTCCTCAGAAATTTATGTGCTACACTATAGAAGAAATCTTGTTTTTATTGTTTTAATGCGTTCGTAGAACTTGCAGGGTCCAGAGACAGAAATTTAAATTCTCTGCGCTATCTTTGCAGTTAATATACAGTATACGAATATCACCACAAAAATATCATTTTTAGGTTGTTCGACGTTTTGCGACAATACCATAAAAAAAAGATACGGGTAGATGATACTACCATCAAAAAATTATTTATTTCTTGAGGCGAGTGGGCCCATCTCTTCCTCATCCCCTTGAATATTGATATTTTGAGCTTTTATTTAGAAGTCATCATAGTTGTGATGCAGTTCATTCAATTGCAATATATATCTCAATGTTTGGCTTGAAAGAGATGCTACATGATATTACATTAAATAATTCTGCCATTTTTCAGTTATAAAACACATTTTTTCTTCACTTTTTAAAATCAAAACAACTTTTCAGTCAGCGCTTTAAAAAAAGTTAGGGGTGCTAATATATTGGCACAGTCAAGTTTGGACATTAAAAATTGGCTTCAACAGATGGTATACAATACGGTAAATGTATAAGTGAAAAATTCTTGTTGAGAAATGCTGAATATATTCAACTGAATGGTTTAATTAACATCCACCATTTTTTCTCATTTAGGTGGTAAAACGCCCGATGCCACAGGTCGTGGTTTTGCCACTATTATGGGTGAAGTAGCTATACACAATGCAAAGGTACGTGCTTTCTTTTTCTCTGTATTTCAGTTATTACTTACCTTGTATTTTTCTTAGATTGATGTACGAAATCAAATTGCTGACAAAGCAAAATCTGGCGATTTACGTCCAACATCAACAGCCTCTGCAATGGCTTCAGCAAAAGCGGCTGCTATAGTAGCTTTGAATGAAGTAGCATCTAGTGATAGACGTCGACGTCGTTGGGATCAAACAGCGTCTCAGGATGAATCAGATCCAAAAGCAAAGAAACCAGCATATGAGGACGTAAGTTTACTGTAGAGGAGTGCTGAAAGTTTTATTATACTCAGTCTTTTTATTATATTTACTTTAGGCTACAACGCCATCACAAGTGAGATGGGAAGAAACGCCTGGACGATCTCTTGGTAGTGAAACGCCTGGTGCTCATCAACAATCACGGATTCAATGGGATGCAACACCTGGTCATGCAACACCTAGTGCCACTTCTGAAATACTGGGCGCCGAAACACCAGGACGTCCATCAGCAAAGAAATCGAATCGTTGGGATGAAACTCCACGAACAGAAAGAGGTATTATATTTCTCTTTCCAGTTTTATAATGTGTAACTCCGTTCTCGTTTCTTCTTTAGAAACTCCGCACACTAGTGGATGGGCAGAAACACCAAAAACTGATCGTGGTATTAATCTAGATGAAGATTATTTAATTAAATCTACTCCAACACCATCGACAGATAAACGTCGTTCGAGATGGGATGAAACACCAGGGAATGCATCAGCCACTCCCTCTGGAACTCCATCAAGTTTTACACCTGTTGCCAAAGAAATTGGCGTTCACGCAACTCCAACAATGGTAAGCGGTTTCACTCCCGGTATGACACCCAATTTAATGACACCAGTGGGTCCAAAAGCAATGGGTATGGCTACGCCAACACCTGGTCAGTTGGTTATGACACCTGAGCAAATGCAAGCCTATCGTTGGGAGCGTGAAATTGATGAACGTAATCGTCCATTAGCCGATGAAGAATTGGATATGATGTTTCCTCCTGGTTATAAAGTGTTGCAACCACCTGCTGGTTACATTCCACTTCGCACTCCGGCCAGAAAATTAACAGCTACACCAACACCGATGTCTGTATTAAGCGGTTTTCGTTTACAAGCCTCTGAACGTGGTCAAGGCGCACAATCGAATCAATTACAAGAATATCAACCAAAAGGAAATCTACCGCTGTTGAAACCAGACGATTTACAATATTTTGGCAAATTATTAGAAGAAATAGATGAAGAACAGTTGAGCCCAGAAGATCAAAAAGAACGAAAAATTATGAAATTATTAATAAAAATTAAAAATGGTACACCACCAATGCGAAAAGCAGCATTAAGACAAATTACGGATAAAGCACGTGAATTCGGTGCCGGCCCGTTGTTCAATCAAATATTACCGTTGCTAATGTCACCGACATTAGAAGATCAGGAAAGACATCTATTGGTCAAAGTTATTGATCGTATTTTATATAAATTAGATGATTTAGTTCGACCTTATGTACATAAAATACTTGTCGTTATTGAACCACTGTTAATTGATGAAGATTATTATGCACGTGTCGAAGGAAGAGAAATTATATCCAATTTGGCTAAGGTAAGAATAATTTTATTTTAAAATATATCCGTACTTGCTCAGTCAAATTTAGACACGGTGACAAGTCGCGGAAAATCTAATAGAATAAAGATCATCATGTTTTCTAAACGATATCACTTTTAGGCCGCTGGTTTAGCGACAATGATATCAACGATGCGTCCCGATATTGACAATTTAGATGAATATGTTCGTAACACAACAGCGCGTGCGTTTGCTGTTGTAGCATCTGCATTGGGCATTCCAGCTTTGTTACCATTTTTGAAAGCTGTTTGTAAAAGTAAAAAGTCATGGCAAGCACGACATACCGGTATCAAAATTGTGCAACAAATTGCTATATTAATGGGATGTGCTATACTACCACATTTAAAATCATTAGTGGAAATTATTGAACATGGTTCGTACGAAAAACATTCAATTTAACAAACTGAATGTAATCTTGTCACTACTTGTCTTGTAGGATTGGAAGACGAACAACAAAAAGTTCGAACAATCACGGCTTTGGCTATAGCGGCCTTAGCTGAAGCAGCAACCCCCTATGGTATTGAATCATTCGATACGGTCTTAAAACCATTATGGAAAGGTATTAAACAACATCGTGGAAAAGGTCTGGCAGCATTTTTAAAAGTAAGTTTATTTCATGACCTTTTAGACATGATCTGATTTTTGTTCTTTAAATTTAGGCAATTGGTTATCTAATTCCATTGATGGATGCTGAATACGCCAATTATTATACTCGTGAAGTAATGTTAATATTGATACGTGAATTTCAATCACCTGATGAAGAAATGAAAAAAATTGTTTTAAAAGTTGTTAAACAATGTTGTGCAACTGATGGTGTTGAGGCACAATATATCAGAGAAGATATTTTA